AGAGGGAGAATAAGTTGGGGCAGAGCCTGGCTTTCGCCCAGGCATCTCTGGCTGTATGTGCAGAGGGCGGAAGAGGCCAGCTGTGTCAACAGACCCCTCCCACACTGGCCACTGAGGGGCCTGGCCGGTGTGCTTGTGAGGGGCTGAGGTGGACAGGCTGCGGGAAGGCCCGTCTGCTGCTCGAGGCACTGTCGCTTCCTGTGGGCTCAGCTGGGGAGTTCACCTCATTAGACACACTGGTCTATATCTTGGCTGCCCTCGTCTCCAGGCTCCTCCCCACAGGCCGGCACATACACACATAGGCATACGCACATATGTGCATATGCACACACTCATGCACACACACAGACACGCAGATGCACACTCTCCAGTTGCACCAAACAGCACTTGCTCCAGTGGGAGGCCCCAGCATCAGGCCAGGGGTGGTGGCGTCTCATGTTCCAAGGGGGAGATGATTCTTGCTTCTCAACAGGAAATGGTGAGCCACACTCCTCACCATCCACATTGGGACCTTAGGAGGGAAGAGGAACTAATGATAAGTCCACTGTGGACGGAGGCCCCTAGCAGACAGTGCTGTGTATCCTCCTGACCCTGGTGGATCTAGGGGAGAAATTGGGCTTCTGGGGTTTGTCAACCATCCAACCACATAGCTGATAAAATACCTCCTTCCAGCTCCAGTCACCACTGCTGTGTAATACGTCGTCCAAATTTAGTGGTGAAAGCCCGTTTGTCACGCGCAGACTTTGTAGGTCAGGAATTCAGAAAGGGCCCAGGAGGCAGGCTCCACTCACGGGGCCTTGGCTGGATGCCTGGTGGCGGGCACCACTTACAGGCCCTCAGGTAGGCATCCGGAGGCAGGTCCGGGTCGCCTGGAGGTGCATGTGCTCGCACACCTGCGGTGATCCTGGTGGTGGCTGGAGCTGCTCCACATGGCTGCATGGGCTTCCCCACAGCATGGCGGCCAGTTCCAAGGACAGGTCCCGGGAGAACTAGCTGGAGGCTGACTCTCCTTCCATGGCGTCGCCTCAGAAGGGTCACATAGTCTCTTGGTAGACCCCCTGCGATGGGTCAAGGATCAGGCCAGGGTGTAGTGGGGCAGGTGACAGTCGCTGTGGCGGCCAGCCTCCCTTCTGTTCTCAGCACACCTTCTCTTCTGCTTTCTGACCTTTTCTCCAGCCAGACTGCCGGTGTGAGAAGCCCCCATTCACTTCAGACAGAGTTTCAGGATCGTGGGTAGGGATCCCACTGCAGGAACCTGTCCTTCTGTCTACCTGTTGGCAACAGATGCTTTCAAGGGAGTCAGCAAATACCGGTCGGAGCCTGGAACCACCGGCTTCTTCTCTTGGGAAGAAATTGGCCAACCCCGTGCCGGCACGTGCCCTTGGTTCATTCAGCCTGCGTTTATTGAGCACTGACTGTGTACGAGCACTGTGCGAGGCCCAGCTTTGGAGCATCTGAGGTCTCGTGTGGTGTAGGACATTGTGTGTGTCCCTCGTGTGCCATCACCAGCGTGGACGTGGGGCCGTGGGGGTGGCGGGGCCTCCCCACGTGGAGTCCGTCAGCTGCCCTGGAAACAGGGAGGCCTGCACAGCAGAGCTTGGGCCGCACTCTGTGCCTCTGTGACAGAAAAGGCCCTGCGTGGTTTGCCTTTATCCAGCCTGTGGTCAGGCCAACATTCTTTTAAAACAGTGTTAAAGGCAGATAAAAACATCCTCCTGTTTCTCCCTCGTTTGTGGACAGTGCCCGTGGTGGCTGAAGTCACGAACAGCAGCCTGCCTCAGAAGCTCCAGTGTTGTGTTCTCTCTCACCTGTCCCTGCTTCCCGGCGTGGGAGCCACCCAGCATGCTTGTAGCTTTCACCAGAAGTCCGCGAAGAGGAGGGTGGGGAGGGGCCGGGCCCTCACTGCGGAACTGGGGTAAATCAGCTCGTGTTCCAGAAAGAGCCGCGTCTGCTGACTCTCGCTGTGTGGCTGGAGGCAAAGTGCTCGGCATGGCTGGTGTGCACGTGGCCCGTCTACCACCGCCAGGTAGCTGTTCATGGCACAAGTCATGGGCTGCGGGGCCGCTGTTGATTTGTGGAAGTTAAGCCTCTTCATCCTTGTGTTTGGGAACAGAAATCTGCCTCCCAGCTTTTGATCAACGTTTTACCTTTCTTCCCTCAAAATCTTTTCTGTTCCGCAATCCAATGCAGTAGACAGTTAGAAAAACGTGTCTTGGTCAGATCAGGTGTGAGGGGACCTCCTGCAGGCAGAGCACTGGTTCCAGAGCCGCCTCCGTTTACAACTGTTTCAGTGTTTTTTCAGGAGAGACGGGAAAGGTTCACGAGACGAATTCAGCGAGATGTGAAACACACCTGTGGCCAGGTGCATCTTATCCCAACCAGAGAATGGAGATAGACGTGAAAAGACGTTTCTCCCGGGAGGACAGACGGACAGACAGCAGACACGCCCACGGGAAGAGGCTCGATATGGTGAGCCCTCAGGAGACTCATGAAAACCATGGCGAGAGGTCAGCACACACACAGCAGGAAGGCTGGGATGAAAGCACGAGGATGCCAGGTGCGGGCGAGGGTACAGGCAGCCCGGGCTGCGCACACCACTGCTGGGAGTGTGGGGCTTTGTGGCCCCAGAAGACAGCTTGGTGGATTCCTAAAAAGTTAACCTGCAACCGCACACAAGCAACTGTCGCTCTCCAGGACATTCGTCCCAGAGAACGAAGACTTAGATTCACATGAGAACCTGCATGTGAGTGTTCATGCAGAGTCACAGCAGATACAGCAGGGGTGCTGGAAACTGACAGCCCTGAGAAAGAAATGGCGTTTCAGCTCCAAACTGGAGTCAGCCCAGGTGTCTGTATGGGGTCTGTCTGAACTATGGGATATTTTTCAGCCTGAAAAGAAATAAAGTATTGTCACACACAACAGCCTGCACAAATCTCAAGAGAATTATGGAAAAAGAGCCAATTGCAAAAGGGTACATCCTGTGCGATCCATTTACACAACATTCTCTTTTTTTTTTTAAAGATTTTATTTTTTTTCCTTTTTCTCCCCAAAGCACCCCGGTACATAGTTGTGTATTCTTCGTTGTGGGCCCTTCTAGTTGTGGCATGTGGGACACTGCCTCAGCCTGGTTTGATGAGCAGTGCCATGTCTGCGCCCAGGATTCGAACCAACGAAACACTGGGCTGCCTGCAGCGGAGCGCACAAACTTAACCACTTGGCCACGGGGCCAGCCTCTACACAACATTCTTGAAAAGACAAAATTACAGCATTGGGAAAACAGGCGCGTAGTTGCCACTAAGGGGGTGAGTGTGGCTGTGAAGGCACCACGAGGGGTCCTGTGGCAGCGGGCACGCCCGTGTCGCTGCCTCAGCAGAGGTGGCGTGGCTGGTTTTTGGGACCTTGTCATTAGAGGGACTGTGTGAAGGATACGTGGGCTCTCGGTGTTATTTCTTACTACTGCATGCAACTCTACCATTTTCTCAAAAAAAAAGTTTAAAAAACCAACAGCGAAAATACAGGCAAGACCTCCTCACACTCTTCATTGGTGCAGCTGCACTAATGAGAGTTAATCGCCACGTGTGAGAGCGGCTGTGTTGGAGCAGGATGAGAAACCCAGAAATGGAGGTGTGACTTACGACGATTTCTCCATAAGGAGCCTTGTTCAGTGATGTCCACCTTGTGGACCCCTCAGATGTCCCTTATATTTCCCTTGTTGATCAGTGAGGTGGGGAAAGCGTGGTCCTGGGGTCAGATGGCCTGTGAGCCCCTCACGGGGCTGCACCAGGGAGCAGGCTGTCTGCCTGCGGACACCCATAGCCTCCCTGGCCAGAAGGAGGGAGAGGGTTCCTCCCAAGGGGACCGCCCATCCTCTGCCTCGGAGGACCAGGACCCTGGACAGCCAAGCAGAGACCTGCCCCGATTGTCTGGCTGCCAGGACCCCGCCCTCCGAGCACGACGCTCAAACATGCTGCAGGGAGATGCTCCAGCAGAAAGTGCAGGCCTCCAAGGCATTGGTGGGATGGGTGGTGGGCCCCCTGGAAGTCCAGGCTCTGTTAGAGGAGCTGGCAGGGCTATGGGGGTCCATGGTGTAGACATTGGGTGTGTGGAGAGGGAATTGTGTCCAAAGCCAGGAGGAGGCAGGGCCAGGCCTCAGGTTGAAGGCCGCAAGGAGGTATAAGAAAATAGGCAGGCCGGCCCTGGTGGCTTAGTGGTAGGTTCAGCGCACTCTGCTTTGGTGGCCCAGGTTCGGTTCCTGGGTGCAGCCCTGCACCACTCGTCTGTCAGTGGCCATGCTGTGGCAGCAGCTCACATACAAAGAGAGGAAGATCAGCAGCAGATGTTAGCTCAGGGCGAATCTTCCTCAGCAACAACAAACAAAAAGACAAGAAAATGAAATAGGTAAGTTATAGGGCAGTGTAGGAGGATTCTGTCCGGCTGGTAGGCGCCTGTCTGCTGGCGCGGGGGGCTGCCGTGCAGCCTGGACACATTGAGGCAGCTGGCAGTGGGCTCTTGGCGCTGAGACTTCTTTTTGGTGGGAGGTTCTTGCCTTTGGGAGGCTGAATCGAGGATGTTTTCGAGAGATGGGACTTTTAGACCTGCTGCCCAGAGGCTGCACAGCCGTCTGCTCACCTCCACTCCAGTTACAGCTCAAGAACGCTCTGGAAGTAACTGGGCGTTTGAACCTGCATCTGGTCATTTTAATCCAGTGCATTGAATCGAGGAGTGCGTCTGGTGAGTTCTCTACGCAGCCAGAGCAGCTTGGCATGGCTGCTGACACCTGCCCTGCGCAGGCGTCCGGTGTCCTGGACTCTGCCTGCCCCACACCAGGCCCATGCCCATCCCCTTTACTCCAGGAAGTTTCCCCAACCTGACCCGGATGCCAGATTTCAGCTGATTCCCCGCTTGGACGCACCAGCCTACGCCAGCTGAGGTGTGTGCACAGGTGTGTGCACATGGCTCGCAGTGACCTCCTTTTGTTGAGTCCTGTTGCTCTTTTGCAGATCATAGGCTGCCAGGTGAGGAGGGAGCCCCCCAACTCCACCGAGCGATACACACGTTGGATCAACCAGCTAGCGTCCGACCAGCTTCTCACCCAGGTACGTCCTGCCCCGTCTAGGAGGTGGCCCAGGCCACCTGAGGAAGCACATCTTGTGTTTGCCTTCAGCAGCTGTCTGCCCACCTCCCGGGTACAGGGTCCTAGTGGACACCTGCTGAGAAAGGGGTCAGCGTTTCAGAGGAGCCTGGCCTGGGGAGGAGTGGGAGCAGAGGGTCTGGCTGGAGACTGGGGCGCAGGGCAGACGCAGCCCAGCACACAGGCCGAGAATGGTGAGTGGGAGGGCGGGAGATGGGGCCGGGGCTGGGCCTGGGGAGGAGGTGTCGAGGAAAGGCCCAAGTTTCTGGGCGGTCATCCCTGAGGCAGGCCGTGCTGGAAGAGGGTTGGTCTGGGTGGAGCTGGCCGGCAGGTGGTCAGGAGCTGGGAGAGAGGCGTGAGCTGAAATCAGACTAGACACCACCTGTGAGAGGTGGGCGGCCGGGAGGGAGGCAGGAAGAGGTGCTCCTGGTCTCAGCTGCGGGGACGCAAGTCCTCGAGCCATCGATTGGCCCCTTTGCTGGACATCTGGGGATGCTGAGCACAGAGGGGCGTTTTGACAGGGTGTCAGTGGACAACAGCTGAGCAAACCTCTGTTCATCTACCTTTGAAAAGAACCCTGTCTGCAGCCACACAATGCTCCACAGCAGTCACCCCAGGCAGACCTGGAACAGCTGGCGGCTGTGCGGTGGGCAGGCTGCTCAGTCTGCCTCTCGGCCTGGGCCCTGGCTGCCCTGCTGATGCAGACACCCCAGACTCTGTGTCCTGCTGGACCAGCCACTCCCAGGACACCCCACACACAGCAGGGCTGGAGAAATGTGCTCTGTGGGGGGGTGGGTCAGGGGGAAGAGGGGAGTGGCCACCCCATGCCTGGCCTGGAAGGGATGCCCCATGAGTGCCAGGCCTGGATCTGGTACTGACGTGTCCACGTTGTGGATTTCCTGGGATCCTCACATACGATGAAATGCATTTTTCTAAACTCTGAATTGTGAAAACTGAAGTCTTGGTAAATGGACTGATTTGTAATGATAACTAGCTCCTGAAATTAGAGTTGCTTGTGATCATGGCACCAGATGTTCTGTTCGCTGAACACAAAAGTGATGCAGAAGAATGCCCTGAGAGTTGAACAGTGCCCAGGACAGGCGCTCCCCTCTTCATGGTGCCGGGTCACGAACTCCTTTCGGTAATCCGAGTTACTCACCCTTCCCCATCAGCTTGCCGGATGCTGGAGTCACTGGATTTGGCTTCTGTTGTCAAACCTGCTTCATTGGTTTAGGTTCTGTTCCATAATGTGCTGATTCACACACAAAGCAATTTTACTTTTGGATTTACTGTTCACATTGGAGAAGACGAACATTCCATCAAGGGCCTTTTGTAGGTAAGAGGGGAGCTTATTGGTTTCCCAGAGGCTCCTAAGGCCGTAGCCTATGCGTGTGTGTCTGGCTGGCTCCACACTCACCCATGTTACATGGAGCCCTAGAGCCGACAGGATCTGGTGGTGGTGGTGGGACCTCCAGGAAGTCACCTGGAGGTGCCTGCAGATGTGGACAGTTACCATGGAGCAGAGGTGGCTCTGTGGCTGGGGCGTTGGGCTGCGGGCAGCCCGACTCCTTCCCGTCTACCCTGGGAAGTGGCCAGCCCAGCTGAGCGCAGCACGGTTCACGGACCCAGTGACTGGGTTGTCTCTGTGAGCATCTGGTCCCTTCACAGTTGAGGAGAACATCCCTCCTGCGGCCAGGATGTGTGGAGTTCGCGCAGCACATGGAGCCTTCTCTTCTCCAGGCTGCGAACCTGTGAAGGATGCAGCAGGCAATTTTCCCCATCAGACTTCTGTGATCCAGAGCCGAGAAGGCACTGGCGGCTTTGGTTGCAGCCTTGTGTGTTGCTTTTCTTCTTTCTGTTGGCATTTGGATGTAAGCAGCCTGGGATAGGCCGTCTCCATGCACGTGGAGTGAGGAGGGGAAAGTGCGGTCCTGGGGTCAGACAGCCTGTGAGCACCTCCTGGGACCTCCTGCCTGCAGACACCTGGGGCCTCCCCAGCCAGGAGGAGGGAGAGGGCTCCACCTGTGGGGACCGCCCATCCTCTGCCTCTGAGGACCAGGACCCCAGACACCCAAGTGGGGACCTGCCCTCCGAGCACGATGCTCAAACAGGCTGCAGGCAGACGCCAATCTGGTCCCCTCCTTGCGGCAGGCCGCCCCTCGGGGCTCATGGTTCTGGGACATGCCGCGTTTTACAGGCGTTTCCTCAGGACATGCGCAGATGGTTTCTTGGTTTTTTCTGGACAAGGTCGCAGCAGACTCAGTGGAGAGCTCCTGAGAGCTTTCGTATCCTACCTGGGAGTTAAAATTCCATGCTGAGCGTGAGAGCTGCTAGCCTCTGTCAGCCCAGACTGGGGGCGCACAGACACTCCTTGGACGGGCCGTGTTCAGCTTTGCCCCGCGGGGGGTCTGGGGACACTCCTCAGCCCAAGTTCAGCGCGTTGCTGCGTGGCGGTCGCCCCAGTGGGAGGAACTGCTGCCTCAGCTCTGCCCCTGATTTCTGGTAGAGGGCGTCAGTGGAAACCCTGTAACCAGTACTGAGTGTGCCATGCAGACACTCATGTCCATTCCAGCCAGAAATGTGAGTCCCTAGCAAGCTGAGGGCTGATGGGTGGCCTTGATTGTGAAGCATCGTGGAAATAATTGAGAGGGTCCTCGAATAGTGTTTTTCTTCAGCAAGTTAGGGGAAGTTGAAGTCTGAAGCTTCTCAAAATAAACTGAAGAAGATCTCTCTTATTTAAGCCATTTCTCAACTGTTAGTGCAGAAATCACACCACTGTCTTAACAAGGTGGGTCAGCCACCAAATCGGTCTAAACCAAGTCACGTGTGTACGGTGGAGAGCAGCACAGTTTGGTGTGACACTTAATGTGTCTACTTGAGATGTTTCTGCTCACCACATGCAAAGGCAAATCAAGTGCCATGAGTTAATGTTCTGCTGATTCCAAATAGACTGAAATGTGGGCTGTCTGTACAAATGGCCTGGGGCAGCTGCCATCCTGAGAACACACCTGTTTTATTCAGGCAGTGCCCACTTTCCACTGTCAGTGACTCGCTGTTCCCAAGGGACCTACAGCTCCTCAATTGGGGAGGGCCAAAGGCAGAGCAGGCCAGACCACCCCCCACCCCCACCTCTGAGGCTGCCCCTGGGGGGTTCTGGCAGCTCAAAGGAAGATGTTGGGGGTCCTGGCGTCTCTGAGAAGGGGTTGGGGGACCTGGCAGCTCTGAGGGGTGGGCTGAGTCCTTACTGAGGCCAGTGTTCATGCAGTGGCATGCTAGGCCTGCACTGGGTAACAGCAGGGAGGAGGAAAGCAAGCGTGCGCATGAGGGGCACTTTCTCCACCCGGCCCCACCGGGCCCACGTCCTCCTCCACCTCGGCTCCTGGCTGCCCATACACACTCTCCCTTGGGCATCCATGATCCTCGTGTCTTGCCCGGCAGGGCTGCTGTGGCAAATACAACAGCCATTTATTCCTCACTGTCTGGTGGCTGGAGGTCTGCCTGTCCTCACATGGTCTTGCCCTGTGCACACACGCCCCAGTGTCTTCCTCTTCTTGTAAGGACACTGGTCCTGTTGGATCAGGGCCCCACCCTTATGACTTCACTTAACCTCAGCTACCTCCTCGAAGGCCATACCTCCAAATACAGTCCCACTGGGGTTAGGCCTGCACCATGGTCTCTGGGGGACACAGTTCAGTCCATAGCACCAGGACACCCTCCTTGGCTCCTTCTCAGCCGCTGGTGCCCCCCCCACCCCAGTCTGTGCACCCTGCCTCCACTGGGCCCCACATGGACACAGTGGTATATGGACAGGGTGGCAGCCTCCCCTGCAGCCTGTCAACTTCATGTGCCCTGCTCGGGCCACAGAGTGGGTGTCACACATGTTTCCTTCATTTCCCCACAGCATCTGAACAGGTCGGCATGAATGTACATGAGGAAAGTTCACAACCCACGTGTCAGCACTGATGCACAAACTCATGGTTTATCCGGCATGTTAAGGATCTGGACAAGCTAAATGTCTAGATAATTAAAGTTTACCTCTGTGAGTCTGGCCTCTGCGTAAACCAGTGCTCCCGAAGTCTGCTTGATCATAAAAATAGCTCAAGAATGTGAAAACCATGCAGATTCCTGATCCACTCCCGTAGAGTTTCTGATTTAGTGGCCTGGGCAGGGCCTGGCAATGTGTGTTTCTAACAAGTGCCTGGATATTTTTGATGGAACTCGTTGGAAGTGTGTTACTCCTGACTCTGACCTAGAGGCCAGGCTGCTGGTACCTGCACAGAAAAACTACTTCCCACAGGATCATCGAGTTGTCTTTACAAAGTCTACCCAAGTAAAGGAGCTTGTGTTTTGGTATAATTTCATTCACGTACAAGTTACAAGAATGGCAGAGTTCCTGTGTGCCCTTCACCTCGCTCCCCCTTCCTAACATCTCACAACCACAGTACAGTGATCAAAACAGAGGATGCGTGTGGTCCAGCCCTGCTGATTCAGCACAGGCCTTCCGGAGTTCACCCCTCCCTGGGAGGAAGGGGCTTCTGTGGAGTTTCGTCACGTGTCTGGATTAACACAAGCACCGTCAGGATGCAGGACTGTTCCATTACCCCGCAGAAACTGCCTCTTCAGCCACACTTTCTCCCAACCCCTGGCAACAGCGTGTCTGTCCCCTTTTGCTGTAATTGTGTCATCTGAGAGAGTTACATAATGGAATCATACGCTGTGGCTTTTCTCACTCCGCATAATGCCTTTGAGATCTACCCATGTTCTTGTCTGCATCCCGTATGTGTATCATTCCTTCCTTGTGTAGCCGAGGAGCATCCCATCATGCAGGTGCACCACCGCAGGTGTGTCCACCCACCCACTGCAGGACGCCGGGTGGATTCCACTTTGGGGCTGCCTCAAATGAAGCTGCTGTGAACGTTCAGGTCCAGGTTTTGTGTGAATGTAAGTTTTCACTTCTCTGGCATA